GGCTAACTAGCTAGCCAACTCCAGTCATGCTAATGTTTGCTGGTAAGCCTAGCTTTAGGTGGCTGGTTGTAACGTTGTAGCTTGCTGTTTAGTAACTAGCCATATCTACGACTAAAAAGAGAAAAGGTTTTACAATCGAGATACAATAGATCTCAGATTGTAACAACTCATCTATTTTTAGTCATAGATATGACTACCTGTAGTTGTTTAGCTAACTTAGCTAGCTAGACTAGCTAGCTACCTTCCTAAGTTAGCAAACATCATTTTTTTTATATTTCCCCCCAATGTAACACATGTTAACCAGCAATACACAATATGGGTTTCAGTAGATAAACTAAAGTTAGCTAGCTAGGGGGCTTGCAGGAAAAATAACTTACTTAGCTAGCCACCGTATTTGTCATGGCATCGGCTGTAGCTGAGCTTCTAGCGAAATCTAACTATTTGTTTCGAATCCTCTTCGCTATATTCTGGTTGAATGTCACCATGTAGCAAAAATAATGCTCCATTATCGAATTCATGTTGGTGAGAGGAATCACTTGAAGCCATTGCGGTCTGGTCAGTTTTTTCCATTTTGCCCAAAGGATTGTGTTGTTGGTGTCCGCCTCCCTTTCAAAAAAGCCTACCTTAGGGGAGGGACGGGGCCAGAGCACCAAGCACCACCCCACACGGGTTGTAGTCTTTCAGAGACTGGAGAAAAGGTGTCAGCTTGTATATTTAGCAATGAATCCGCTGATAGGAATATAATTGAAAGACATCCAATGGCTCTATCGAACAAGGACAACCATATCTACACGCACAAAAACGTATAGTGCGATCAGTATCACATAGTACCTTCGCGAAATGCCACAAAGCAGGATCTTTAATGTTTCACTACTTTTATTTTTATGAAATGCACTGAGTAGGATGGTCATTCCCATCCTCCTCTGAGGAGCCTCCTGGTTGAAGGGCTCTGGCTAGTATTACGTAGCCAGCTAGAAGGATGAATCAAGAAGCTAACGTTAAACAGAGCCTACCTCAGCAGGAGAAAAAAATAGGCTACTAAGTTCTCATAATAACTTTGCTTTACAGAGAGTAGGCTACTGAGACAGACAGTGATGTGGCGCTCAGTGGTGAGGCTGAGGCAGGCTGCAATGCCTGCAGAAGGAAGCAGAGGAGACAGATAGCGAGAGGAAGCAAGCAGAGAGAGCGAGGTTAGTACGGTGGTTTCAATGTGAACATCTCCACATGGCCTATCTTCCCTACATTAAAATGCAATCAAAATGCAAACAAAGTTCTAAAAATGTCATACGTTTTTGTTTATATCAGTGGTTGTTCGTCTTATCTCGATTGCCCACTGGAGTTTAGTTTACCCATTACCCACTTTTTATTTTAACCTCTACATCACTGATATTAATACAGAATCATAAGTCATATTCTAATAATTCATGTGAATATGATAATACGATCATCTGTGTGCTCCATTGATGTGTGTTTGTGCAGAGCTTGATTAGTAATGCCTAGGAAAATGTGAACGCTACGTAGTTTGAGAAAAGAGATATGTGTGTAAAAGGTTGATGATTTTATGCAATTCATCAGTACAACTGACTGAACAGTCGCTGATGCTATACGTGTCAGTGTGAATAATTTCTCATATTTCCCCCCTTTCAGGGGTATAACATTACAATTGTATAGCTAATAGGCTACGTGTTTGTAGATCGACTGAGGTGAATGAACCTACAGCAGCCAAGGTAGTACTGGCTGGGGTAATATTTGCTAGTTTTTGCAGTTTTATTTGCTTGTCCCCCCACCCTTCCAGACCTCACTAAAACTCAAACCCTGATTATGGTCCTACCCTCCCTCTGTACCCCTCCTATCATCCTAGTGTCCTACACTCAGCCTGTGCAAAACACTGGTTGTATCTGAACCCCTTCTCTCTCTCTCCTCGGCGCCGGGGGAAGAATTGACTGTGATTCAACAAACCTCCGTGAAACACACAGTAAGGGGATTAAGTAAAAATAGATCTGAGCCTTCTTTCTTTCTTGGTTCATTTTCATACATGCATTCACTTTAGCTGCATTTCAGGAAGCCTCATACAAGCTCCAGGCGGTCAGGCCCAGTCAGCGAGGGGCCCCGACGTTCAGCAGAGATTACCCATTGTGTGTTATGTCACTAGTTGACTGATTACAGTTGTGTGTTTGTGTGTGTCCCCGTGTCCGCGTGTTTGTGTCCGTGTCCACGTGTGTGTGTGTGTACGTTTGTACGTGTGCCTGCCTGTTGAGATTAAACATTTATTTTACAACAAAGCGGGATCATGAAAACACAGGCATTTACAGTAGTTCCTGGTATCAGCATTCAGAAAGGGTAGGGCGCTAACATTTGATTGCTAGTATCAACAGAGCAAACATGCTACCATCTGACTGGAAGCATCATCAAAGCTTACACACTAGTATCTGACTGCTAGTACCCTGCCTCTGGGTTAATAAATAAATAACAAGATACCTGGTGAGGGTGAGCAGTAGATTAAATGTTATTAAAGAGTTGCTTGTGTTCAATTAAACAGCTGTAAACGCTGCTGAAATCAGTACAGTGGAGGAGGAAAATAACTCCACAAAGACAGACTGATAGACACTTGTGCCTTCAGAAACTATTCATACCCCTTGACTTATTCCACATTTTGCTGTGTTACAGCCTGAATTCAAAACTTTTTTTCTCACCTATGTACACACAATACCCCATAATGACGACGTAAAAACATGTTTTTAGAAATGTTTGCAAATGTATTGAAAATGAAATACAGAAATATCTCATTTACATAAGTATTCACACCCCTGAGTCAATACTTTGTATGCACCTTTGGCAGCAATTACAGCTGTGTGTCTTTCAGGTTAAGTCTCTAAGAGCTTTCCATTGTGACCATTATTCTTTTCAAAATTCTTCAAGCTCTGTCAAATTGGTTGTTGATCATTGCTAGACAACCATTTTCAGGTATTGCCATAGATTTTCAAGTAGATTTAAGTCAAAACTCTAACTTGGCCACTCAGGAACATTCACTGTCTTCTTGGTAAGCAACTCCAGTGTAGATTTGGCCTTGTGTTTTAGCTTGTTGTCCTGCTGAAAGTTGAATTAATCTCTCAGTGTCTGGTGGAGAGCAGACTGAACCAGGTTTTCCTCTAGGATACTTCCATTTCTTTTTTATCCTGAAAAACTCCCCAGTCCTTAACGTTTACAAGCATACCCATAACATGATGCAGCCACCACAATGCTTGAAAATATGGAGAGTGGTACTTGGAATGTGTTGTATTGGATTTGCCCTAAACACAACACTTTGTATTCAGGACAAAAAGTTAATTGCTTTGCCACATTTTTTGCAGTATTACTTTAGTGCCTTGTTGCAAACAGGATGCATGTTTTGGAATATTTGTATTCTCTACAGGCTTCCTTCTTTTCACTCTATCAATAAGGAAAGTATGGTGGAGTAAATACAATGTTGTTGATCCATCCTCAGTTTTCTCCTATAACAGTTATTCAACTCTGCAACTGTTTTAAAGTCACCATTTGCCTCATGGTGAAATCCCTGAGCGGTTTCCTTCCTCACCGGCAACTGAGTTAGGAAGGACTGGGTGACTGGGTGTATTGAAACACAAAAGAACTGTCAATCTCCTTCGGCCTGGGGCTCCATGCAAGATCTCACCTCGTGGAGTTGCAATGATCATGAGAACGGTGAGGAATCAGCCCAGAACTACACGGGAGGATCTTGTCAATGATCTCAAGGCAGCTGGGACCATAGTCACCAAGAATACAATTGGTAACACACTACGCCGTGAAGGACTGAAATCCTACAGCGCCCGCAAGGTCCCCCTGCTCAAGAAAGCACATATACAGGGCCGTCTAAAGTTTGCCAATGAACATCTGAATGATTCAGAGGGGAACTGGGTGAAAGTGTTGTGGTCAGATGAGACCAAAATGGAGCTCTTTGGCATCAACTCAACTCGCCGTGTTTGGAGGAGGAGGAATGCTGCCTATGACCCCAAGAACACCATCCCCACCATCAAACATGGAGGTGGAAACATTATGCTTTGGGGGTGTTTTTCTGCTAAGGGGACAGGACAACTTCACTGCATCAAAGGGACGATGGACGGGGCCATGTACCGTCAAATCTTGGGTGAGAACCTCCTTCCCTCAGCCAGGGCATTGAAAATGGGTCGTGGATGGGTATTCCAGCATGACAATGACCCAAAACACACGGCCAAGGCAACAAAGGAGTGGCTCAAGAAGAAGCACATTAAGGTCCTGGAGTGGCCTAGCCAGTCTCCAGACCTTAATCCCATAGAAAATCTGTGGAGGGAGCTGAAGGTTCGAAACTTTAGTGACTTGGAGAAGATCTGCAAAGAGGAGTGGGACAAAATCCCTCCTGAGAGGTGTGCAAACCTGGTGGCCAACTACAAGAAACGTCTGACCTCTGTGATTGCCAACAAGGGTTTTGCCACCAAGTACTAAGTAATGTTTTGCAGAGGGGTCAAATACTTATTTCCCTCATTAAAATGCAAATCAATTTATAACATTTTTGACATGTGTTTTTCTGGATTTTTTTGTTGTTATTCTGTCTCTCACTGTTCAAATAAACCTACCATTAAAATTATAGACTAATCATTTCTTTGTCAGTGGGATCAAATACTTTTTTCCCTCACTGTAAGCCATTTTATATTCAGACTGTAACACAACAAAATTAGGAAAAACACACACACACACACACACACACACACTCTATCAGGCACTCCCATGGATTTTCTGATTGATCTTCCTTGTCCCTAAATGGAGCTGTAGAGCTGTTAACCTTGTGGCTGCTGCAGTATAGACAGGTACTGCCAGGCTCAGTGTTTATACAGCCCCTCTCCACTCCTGATCCTGAGGCAGCCAGGGAAATTGCCTCTGCCCACTGAGTCACAGGGCCATCTATATTCAGAACGAGAGGACCCAAAACACAATGGGTAACATTGAAAGTCTCTCCTGTCTTTGCACAGACCAACATGATACACACTGTGAGGGACTCCAGAGTGATGCAACAGCTGAAAGACAACTGTTCCGCCCTGGAGCGACAAGGAGCTGTTGGTTTACTCTCTGATGCCTAATGAGTCTACGTTAGCATTACAGGAAGCATAGTAAAGGGCTAGGCACTGAGCGGTTGTCCCATGTGGTCTGTTTGTGCTGGTTGGGTTTGGCCTTAGGCAAACTCATACACAGACACTGCTAGACACCCTAAATAGAAACTAGCACTGGATATTAATGAGCCATTGAAACAAATGAAATGGAATATTTAAAAAAGGAAGAAAAAGAGGCAGTACAAACATAACAACACACTCGGACGAGGGCCCATACACACTGTACACCACACGCACATACACACCCTATACTTTATGGGCCATTTTTAACCGGCACTATTTGGGCCGACTAAACTCTGGCGTTTTTATGACACTCCCCTGCTTAAATTAATTACGGGTTGGCCGAGGCATGCGAGCACCAGTGGTAATAACCCACAGGGGCCGGTCGCCTCGCAGTGAGAGTGGTGATTAATGAAAGCCACACTGTCCTGATTGGTCCACAAATGAAATTAGAACTTGACTCACTAACTCATTAGAAGGCAAACTGTGACTTCTACTCTAAAATGAAAGAAAAACTCCAGAGAATCTAATGTTCTCTGCTGATTTCATTCTGTACAACGACATATGGTGACAGCGGTGGGTTTTCAGTCGTACTGTCACGACTTCCGCCGAGGCTGCCTCCCCTCCTTGTTTGGGCAGGTTTCGGCGTTCGTCGTCACCGGCTTACTAGCTGCTGCCGATCCATTTATCCTCACTCCACTTGTCTTGTCTAATTAATCACACACACTTGGTCCTTATCCCCAATTAGTCATTGTATAAGTGTTCCCTCTGCTTCCTTGTCTGTGTGGGTGATTGTTTGTTGTGAGCTGTGTGTAGCTCGGTTGAGCTACACTTACCTTGTTGTTGCCAGGGTAGTATTTTCCCCTGTGCCTGAGTGTTGTTGTCGCATGCTTGCACAACTGTTTATCGACGGAATAAACTCTTTGGATGCGTATTACTCTCCTGCGCCTGACTCCTTCTATCACACGCATCACACGTACAGTGTGTTCAAGTCACGGTATACCATTTTGACATGTTGGCCCATTTCGGTTATCAGTCCTGCCAAATGACTGATGTTATCAGCCTGTTCTTTTCTTCTCTCCTGCCCATTTAATTAGAATAAATACAGCTAGCTAGTGTTCTGTTTTTAAGGCAGGTCTAATTCTTCCATTGACGTTCCCACTGATAGTATGGCTTAATTAACGCTGCTCTCGTTGACAGATTCTTCTCTCTTGGCTCTGTTGCTTTCCATTGTCCTGGTCTGTCTGTTCTATTGTGTCTCTGCTGTCGACTGCTGTCTATGGACTAGTTGATAACTACAGTACCTCTCTACATCACTGTTGCTTATTGAGTGCAATGTGTTTTTTTAAAAGCACTGCAGATAGGATGTGTTATGATAATGAAGAATGGGAGGTAGAGAAAGATAATTATTCGAATGAACAGGATTCATTCCCTTTGAATTTACTCAATTTAGGAAAGGAATGGAAATTCCAATTCAAGAATTCAAAAATCTTAATGGAAAATAAATGGCACTTTTCAAATCTTGAATTCACTGAATTGAAATGGAATTGAGCCCATCCTTGCTAATAAGCACTACCATCATCATCAACAGCATCATTCTGATCAGCCTTCACCGATATTAATGTGTTGTTGTGATCGCCAGCTGGACCCAGACAACACCGGTTTCATCGCAGTGGAGAACTTCACCAGTCTGGTGGAGCACCATGAGCTGCAGCTGGACCCCTCCAAACTGGACATGCTGTTCGCCCTGGTGCAGAGCAACGAGGATGGACAGGTGTGCTACCAGGAGCTCATCGAGCTGGTGAGTGACTGGGAACGGACACGCAGACACACACACACACAGAAGCACGTAGAGGACACACACACACACACTTGCTACAGAATGATTCGAGAAAAGACAGCGAGGAGGTTCGTGATGACAAAATGTACCTGACCATTGAAGTATTTAGTTCTTCAGAAAGAGGTTTGATCTTTCTAATTAAATGTAATTATAAATACACACAAACAGAATGCAATGATAAATAAATACACACACACACACACACACACAAGTGCCACAGACACACACACACACACACTGTGATACATTATACTGTATTAGCTGTTGGTGGAGAAAAGGTGAAAACCCTGCCTCAATGTCTTCTACTGAGAAATGTCTTGTGATGCTGCTAGGAGGTCAGAGATATTCTTATTCATTCCTCTCCACTTAACCAGTCTGTGTTTAGACCTTTGTTCCTATATATTTGAATTAATGCAAAGCCTTTTAAAGGGGCTGAGGTGATTCTTAGCCCTGAGTATAGTCGTAGATCAGAGCATGTTTCTTCTCCTCACAGCATATGGGTTTAAGCAGCGTGATTAATTCAACGCAATGCAATTCCTGACATATTTTCACTTCCCTAAGCTGATTCCTTCCTTCGCTCTGTTCTGCTCATGGTTTGTAATGATAGCTGTTTCATTTAGTTCCCCTTCCAAATGTTCAGGTCTCGCTTCTAGTGTGTGAGCAGCAATGCAGATGCAGGCGCTCTCGCTGACATTTCAACCCCTTCCTTTAGTTTGCCCTCCTCCTATCATCCACCCTCCCTTTTTGGATCTTCACGCCTCTTCCTTCTGTTACTCCCTCCATCTCAGATGTGATACTCTTCCCTCTGACTACTCCCTTCTGCAAATCTTATCCTCCTTTAATTGTACCCCTTTTTTCATAACGTAACCCCCTCTCTCCCCAATATCACCCCCCCCCCCCCCCCCTTTCCTTTAACCCCCCTCTGTCAACCGCTCAGATTCTGTTTTCTTCTCTGTCACCCGTGCAGCTCCAGATCTTATGTTAAAACCCTCCCCAGGTTTAGGCAGCATCAGTAAGACAGTTTAACATTCACCGTCAGCCAAATGCAAATTGGGTTCGATCAGCCCAGCATTGGTAGTAGCAGGCAGTAATCTAAGGTAATTTGAGAATGCACAGCCTCACAGATATCGACATCCATGTCTGATTGGTAAAGATTTGTCTGACACACATGTGCACACACACAGTTTGCATACATTTTCACTGAATGGGCACACACACACTCACAGAGGACGTGCGCTTGCTCACTAACACATGATCAGGAAAGCTAATACATGCACACACAGACTCATTCACCTTACACATGTTCACCATACAGATTTGCTGACTAATTTGGATGATATTCAAATGCTGACGGGAATCTGTTCTCTTCTCTGTGTGATGTGTGTCTTATAAGAGCGGGTCTGTACTGGTGGTGCTCTGGTTTAGTTTGTCGGAGAGAACATGCAAATGTAGCGTGACATTTCGAACCAGGTCATAACCAAACTGAGATCCCCCCCAGCCTCCCTCTGGTTGTCTTCTTCTCTCTCTCTCTATCACACTTTATTTGTCCTTCTCCCTTCCTCCTTCTGCCCCCTCTTTCTTTCTTTCTTTCTTTCTTTCTTTCTTTCTTCTTTCTTTTTTCTTTCTTTCTTTCTTTCTTTCTTTCTTTCTTTCTTTCTTTCTTTCTTTCTTTCTTTCTTTCTTTTTCCATCTCCTTCACTTTTCCTCTGTCTGTCTGCCTGCCTCTCTCTCTCTCTCTCTCTCTCTCTCTCTCTCTCTCTCTATCTCTCTCTATCTATCTCCCCCTCCCTCTCTTTCAGGGAGATTTATAAGAGGGACACCATTGACAGTATGTGATGGATGAATGGTATTTTGAGTTGGAAAGTGCACCGCTGCCATTATATTATCACCAGTGTCTACAGTCTGCCGTCTGGACCTGAATTAAGACCTGGCCAAGAAGATAAAAGACCCCTGCCTGTGGAGCTGGAGCAGTGTGTAGTGGGCTGTGTGTGTTTTCACACATCTATGCACTGTGCACTCTAGATACTGTACATCAGCAGTTATGTCTAACTTTCAATCCTGACGCTCTTTTGGCCCCGAGGCGCTGTTACTTTCATCCTGCTAGTCTGCTGAACGGGGATGTTAAACTCTCCTATATTGGTCTTCGGGCTGTGTGAGTTATTGATCCACACATACTGTCTCTACATGACTGGGTGTACATTTGTCGGAAGCGAGCTCTTGGCCCACAAGTTCAGTAGCATGTGAGTGTGGAAATGTGTTTGAAGTCCCATGTTTTTCATGCTGGCTGATCAGAGCCAGAGAGCTCCATCAGACCAGCCTGAGGGGTGAATAACTAGCGCTCCGCTAAAGCCTCTCATGGGGGTCGCAGACCTGTACTCCGACAGGCCCACACACACTTACAAACACACATACACATACACACACACACACACACTTACAATGTTTACAACGCCGGCTGAAATGAGATGAAAACAGAACTGGTTGACGACTTTTTTCAAATCCAATGTCTTTTGCACGTTGATTCCACATCACAATACGTTGACACTTTATGTTGAAACAACGTAGATTCCACCACACACCTCATTGTCAGGTGACTATTTTCAGGAAAAATTCCTTTCCCTAGTCATTGTTCATCCTTAATCGGAGAGATACACCAATACGGATCCCACCGCTGCCACCATCTGTCAATGTGCGTTGTGTTGTAGTCATGACAGAAAAATATATAAAACGTTAGGCAAACTTTACCACGCATGCTTCAGTCAGCTACAGTACATAGTCAAGTGACAATATTTCCTGTTTCCTGTTTAACACTAATATTGCTGCAGGGATTCTCTGTGTTTCTGCTCCGCTTGAAGAGGGGATGAGGTAGAGCACCGTATGTCACCTGTGACCTGACTGAAGCGCTCTTTGGGAGTGTTTAGTGTCCCCAGCAAGGCCATTTGGGATATTTAGTGGCTCCAGTGTGGTCGTTATAGTGTTTACAGACTTCAATAGGGTCGTTCTAACAGTGTTTAGTGCCCAGGGTGCATCTGTCTTCTGAGTCGACAAGCAGGGCCTCACTGGATGGAAAGACAACACACACACACACCCTCGCAACACACACACACAAACACACACCCTCGCAACACACACACACACACACACACACACAAACACAGACAAGCACCATGTCTCTTTTAGTTGGGTTGCTGGCTACAAAGTGGTGCACTTTGCTGAAGTGTCGTGGAGTGAAGGTTTTTCCAGTTTAGGTCCTGATGATTAAACCATGAAGGAGGGTTGTGGCTGTGGGCTGCTAGGGAGATAAAGGTGGGCTCTCATTTTAAAAGGATTTTGGTAGAATGGCTCTGAGAATCTGGGTCAGTGGAGAAGGTGAGCGAACACAGTGATTTAGTTTATCTTATGTTACTGTGTGTGTGTGTGTATGTGTGTGTGTGTGCTTTTAATAGCTTAATAATACATTATAAATGACCAGTAAATGTGTGGTAAATGGTGTGCTGATCCTGTTTAGCAGAACTAAGTGATGGTGAGTCATTTACTACATGGTGATTCAGGAACATTAGGATTCCAACCTGGTTCTGCACAGTATGTAGTAAATTATTGAGTAACATTCATTGAATGATTTCTGCATTGCTTGCTGTTTGTGATTTTAGACTGGGTTTCTGTATAGCACTTTGGGACATCTGCCAAAAAAAGGGCTTTATAAATAAATTTGATTTGATTTTTCATCAAGCTAGTTAGCTTTAGAGCCTGGAGGACTCTGTGTAAGAGCGAGAGCTGATGCTCTCCCAATCAGCTATTCATTAAATAAGTTTGATTTTGCACCAAAGTTCAGCTCACATTGTTTGGTGAGCATCAGGCCCAACTTTGGAAATGTTCTGGAATGGATAGCCTGAATCATTTAGAATGACTCTATACCAAACTCAATATACACATGTACCTCTATATAGAGACGACTATGGAACAAATAGCATCTTTATGTGTCATTATTAATTCAAACTATTGAGCAGTACAGTATTGACCAAACACCAGTACTAATTAAGTCATGGACAGAGGCTGGAGCTGAGCTGAGTACCAACATGTACTGTAACCCCACACACTGTTCTCAAGGAGGGGAGTGTGAGCACCCTGCTGTTTTAAATACACACGTGTGCACGCACGCACACACACGCACACACACACACACACACACATACACACACGGGCATACACACGCAAACACACACCGATGTCAATTAGGTTCATTCCGGTCTCCCTGGAAGTTAATTATATCTTTAGCTCCATCTTTAGCCATAGCCTTTAATATCAATTATATTCCCTGGCAGAAATCTCCTTCTTGTCAGGGGAGTTTTAGCTGCGGACCTTGTTGATGCCATAGTCTGATGTGATGCTAGCACACCCTGCTAGAGTGCTCCTACTGAGTTTCTCAGGGCTCACCAGTCAAGTCATCAGCTTCCGTGCTAACGTGCTTTATTGTCTGCCTCCCTCTCTCACATCCCGAACTTCAAAGGCCGCTTAATTCTCACTTTAGAAGCGGCGGTCCCTCATGTCGGAGGAGAAGGCGGGGCAGAATGACAAGTGTCTATCTGGAAATGTCTCCCAGGAACATTCAGGAGCTCAAATGTCAGAGAGCGAGATGAAACGTGTCGCTAAGAGGAGAGGCAGCAGGTGTTTTGGGAGAACAAACAGATAAAACACTGGAAACACAGGCATCGTTTAGAAAAGAAATCCCACACAAACACCTTCCCTTTCTCCCATTCAGTCTCTTAAGTCTTCTAATAAAGACATTATTGAAGACAGGTGGAAACAATTCACTTCCGCAGTCCAACGGCAGCTGTCCTTTCCCGGAGCGAGTCGATCCACACAGGTATCCCATTTTCCCTACCTAATTTTCCTTTCCTTACTTCCTAATGTCTCCCTCCCATCTCTTCTGCTTTCCTCTCCCTCCTAGCGCACGGACAGTATAATTGCATTTCCTGGGCTTGATCTCCATGCTAAAATATGCAGTGGTGCAGCCACGGGAGGGCCGGCAGCTCCTCTCATGCTCACGCTGGTTATCAACATGCCACAGGCCCACACTCGCTCATTGTTCAACCCCGGCATCGTAATGACTTAATATGTGTCTCACGGCATCCCGCTCCGCTAAACTTCACCACCACCATCATCCACTACCGCTCTACAGACTAACTATATTTCTGTTATTCCTAAATTATTTTCTTTCAAGATTCATTTGTTTGTTATATATTTCTTAGTGTCCTTGTTTTTTTTTATTTTGTTAGCGCTGTATTGATATTGCCCCCGATTACTTTCATTATTATACTCCCCGCAGTGTCCGGATGTAATGAGCCTGCACACGACAGCACCTAATGAATTATGGTTGGTTTGCTTTAGCTGCCTGTCTGGTGGGGTCTGTGGCGACTCTGACAACTGCTGCAGTATAGATGGATACAGTAGGAATGTGGCTTGCAATATTGTTTGTGTATCATCTTGGATTTAAGCATTTCTCCATTGTATAGGTAAACACAGATCAGTTTGCTTTTTCCAGTGTCCTTTCCTTGTAGAGCTTTTCAGATTCAGATTTATTGTCGTCATAAGAGGACGTTCATTTTCTTCCAGATTCATGCTACAATATGTTTGTCATCTAGTAACGTTTATATATTTTTTTGGTGGTTGCACCAGGGTGTTATCTCAAGATCCTACTAAAGCTGCAAACTTCCAGGGTTCCATGTACCAAGTCATGCTAGCACACAGCTGTATTGTTACTGCTCACTTAGAAAACCTGGAGTATCCGTGATACTACTGTTATTTTACTGCTGCTCTTTAATTATTATAATTTTTTTTTTGTATTTTTTTTTTTACTTATCTATTTTTTACTGAACACTTATTTTTCTTAAAACTGCATTGTTGGTTAAGGGCTTGTTAGTAAGCATTTCACTGTAAGGTCTACACCTGTTGTATTCGGCGCATGTGACAAATACAATTTGATTTGATTTGATAACAGGAGGCTGTCATCCGTCTCCCCACCGCATTCTCCACTTTCCGCCGGGTTGAACAGTTCTACTCAGCAGAGCTTTGCCCCTCAATGGCAAAATCACACGGTTATTTTGAGTGAAGAGAGGCACCATGTGTACCTGTCAATGCAAGGCAGCGCTGAAATAATCTCCTCCACTTTTAGCCCCGAACGCTTCAAGTTGACGTGCGTCTTTTCTCTCCCTTGGAAGCTGGGAGAACGGAGATTCTCTTTGTTTGAAGTAGAGTGCAGCTGGCACTTTGAACGTCTTAGCCCCAGCTAGGCTACATGGCTTTTCAGTTCTCTGTGCCTTCAAAAGTTTGCTTCAGCACTGTAGGAAGACATAGGGTTGCTGCATAATAGTTGTGTTTCAACTTCTAAAAGCAGTTGCAGGCATTTAGCATGACAATTCAAATTAGCTATCAAATTATAGATTCAAAGGAATACTAACTTCTCTCTTTCCTTCTCTCTCTCTCTCTCTCTCTCTCTCTCTCTCTCTCTCTCTCTCTCTCTCTCACTCGCTCTCCTTCTCCTTCTCCTTCTCCCTCTCGCTCTCATTCTCATTCTCTCTCTCTCTCCTTCTCTCTCTCTCTCCTTTCTCTCTCTCTATCTTCCACCCTCCTCAGATGAGCAGCAAACGCTCCAGCAGTTTCCGACGGGCCATCGCCAATGGCCGCCGCACGCTGCAGCGGGAGATTCTATTGGACGAGACGGGCCTGGGCGTGTACAAGCGCTTTGTGCGCTACGTGGCCTATGAGATCCTGCCCTGTGAGACAGACCGGCGCTGGTACTTCCACCAGAACAGCTTGTGTCCCCCACCTGTCTTCATGGCCATCATTACCATCATCCAGGTGAGAGGTCTCACATGACTGAACTGCTCATTGTTAAGACCAGTGGTTCCCAAACAATATTGCATTGTGACCCACCTGAAGATGTTAGTATTTACTTATGACCCTTAAAATAAGCACAACAATGTTTCTGTCATAAAACATCTTTAGCTTTGTCATATGAGGAAATGGATGTGATCCAATAATGGGCAGTCTGGGCACTGACCCACGCTTGGGTAAACAGTGGTATATTCAATGCCAGACCTCGAAGGCAACACTGTCTATTGGCTTTCATGCTCTGATTCTTGGATTCTTATCAGCAACTGATGTCGAACTGGGCAACCAAGCCAGTGGACTATTCTCTGGCCAATTTAGTGATATTAATGGAACAATTTAGTGACGGGAAAGAAAAGAAAACCAACAGACTGCTTTATCCCCGGTGGCCATGACTTGAATAGGGAATGCTATAAAACCTGCTTCTACTCAAACTCACTGTCATTCTGAAGAAAGCCAAGTACTGTAAGTGCTCTTAAATGCTTCACAATGGCAGTGAATGGTCTGTAATGACAATTTGGCTACGATAAAGACTATTTCACTTTCATTTAAATTCATGAAATTATGATTAATTGATCTATGAAAGGAGCTAATGGAATCGGACCAGCTCCGTGTGTCTTTCTGTATGTGCATCGCCTGTCGGTGAAAATGGAAGTCTTCAGCCGACGCAAGGCAAAAAAAAAAAGACAACAATCATGGCATTTATTAGCTGAATCACAATTGGCTCCCAAACAGAACTCTGTACTATATGATATGAGTGTCTGAATGAAGAGACGTGGGTGTGAACCAGCATGTGTGTGTCGTCTCTCCCATCAGATCATTGTGTTCATGTGCTATGGCATCATGCTGAATAAGTGGGTGCTGCAGACGTACCAGCCAGACTTCATGAAGAGCTCCCTGGTGTACCATCCCAGACACCGCCTCCAGGTGTGGCGCTTCTTCAGCTACATGTTCATGCACGTTGGGTAAGAAACCACCCCACCTCATTCACACACACACCAGCGCCTACACTCACACACACGCACACACACACGCACACACACACATTCATTCACTCACTCACAGTGTGAAGCAAAAAATAATTGATACTGCATTGACAGATAATGCCATAGATAGGATTGATGGATAGATGGTGATAGATGGCCCCTGTAGATACCTTTGATGAAGTGTCTAGACCAAAGGAGCTGATTAAAACACTATGCATTATTCATTTGTCATTGAGACCAGTGTCGTCCTCCTCCTGTTCACTGTGTCTCTCAGGTTGGAACAGCTGGGGTTCAACGCTCTGCTCCAGCTGATGATCGGCGTTCCCTTGGAGATGGTCCACGGCATCCTACGCATCAGTCTGCTCTACATGGCTGGTGTAGTGGCAGGTGAGTGTCACTGTGTTAGCATCGTTTGTTGGTGTGATAGTATCGTGGGTTAATGTGTTAGTATCGCTGTATTTTACTGCTGATAGTACTGTATGTTGATACTTTGGTGTTTTAGTATATCATTGTAAATAATAATATAATAATAATATGCCATTTAGCAGACGCTTTTATCCAAAGCGACTTACAGTCATGCGTGCATACATTTTTTTTTTGTGTATGGGTGGTCCCGGGGATCGAACCCACTACCTTGGCGTTACAAGCGCCGTGCTCTACCAGCTGAGCTACAGTGTTGGTGTGATATTGTGGTTCCTTTGTGTGTTAGTCTGTTCGACATGGCTGGTAAGTTAGCCATAAAGGGTAAGTGTGCACTTCTGTTCTCATCCAACACAGTGGTTTGTATAAGTGTTTTAGTATGTGCACTTCAAAGACCACGTACTGTTGTGGTCTGTTTGATCCTTTTGATATATGTGACCGACCGGCTCGATTCGGTCTTATGTAGCAACATTTTGAAATTGTGTTTTTTACATTGGATAAAAGTAGAGACTTAGAGCTAGTAAATGGTATATCATACTCTACAGTTGAGGAACAATGGGAAAGTAATTCTGCTTTGAAAGTTGATAAACTTGTAACCCCACTTTTGAGAAAATGGCCCTTGAATGTTTCGGTACCTACTGGAGAGCTCTTCTTTGTCTACACCTATTCAGCATCGTTCACACCTCCTTAGCCCCACCCATCTCTTAAAGGATTCACATGTGAGGCCATGTGCTAAACAGTGAGTACGGTAGTGTAGTAAACAACCAAAGATTTCAAGACTAAAGACTTGTTTTTACTACGTCTATCGACTTGTCTGTAGCTATACAGTTGTCGCAATGACATCATGAACATTCTAATGTCGTCCGACATCAAACTTGTCGTTTGTTATGAATAAGTATAAACACAAAAACGACAGGCTGCATGACATTAGCAGCCTGGTGGTCCAAAATAGCATAACTGGGTGTATTTTAACACCAACATACCCATCCGTTTACAAATGAATTTAGTATATGTCAATCTAGCAAACCAGGCAACTAAAAACAACTTTCTAAACATTTTTTTTTGTTTGTTTCTAGTGTGTTAGCTAGCTTCAGTGCGGTGAAAAAGTATTTGCCCCCTTTACAATTTTCTCTACTGTTATCAGATCTTCAACCAAAACCGAATATTAGATCAAAAGGAACCTGAGTGAACAAATAACACAATAATTACATACTTATTTAATTTATTTCATAAACAAAGTTATGCAACACCCAATGCCTCTGTGTGAAAAAGTAATTGCCCCCTTACACTCAATAACTGGTTGTGCCACCTTTAGCTGCAATGACTGCAACCAAATGCTTGCTGTAGTTGTTGATCTGTCTCTCACATTGCTGTGGAATAATTTTGGCCCACTCTTACATGCAGAACTGCTTTAACTCAGCAACTTTTGTGGGTTTTCCAACATGAACTGCTCGTTTCAAGTCCTGCCACAACATCTCATTTGGGATTAAGTCTGGAATTTGACTAGGCCATTCCAAAACCTAAAATGTGTTGCTTTTTAGCCATTTTCATGTAGACTTGATTTTGTGTTTTGGATCATTGTCTTGCTGCATGACCCAGCTGCACTTCAGCTTCAGCTCACAGACGGGGATGGCCTGACATTCTCCTGTAGAATTCTCTGATACAGAGCAGAATTCATGGTTCCTTCTATTAAGGCAAGTCATCCAGATGCTGAGGCAGCAAAGCATCCCCAAACCATCACTACCACCACCATGCTTAACCGTTGGTATAAGGTTCTTAATGTGGAATGCAGTGTTTGGTTTTCGCCAGGCATAATGGGACCCAGGCCCACCCATGGCTGCGCTCCTGCCCAGTCATGTGAAATCCATAGATTAGGGCCTAATGAATTTATTTCAATTGACTGGTTGCCTTATATGAACTGTAACTCAGTAAAATTGTTGAAATTGTTGCATGTTGCGTTAATTTTTTTGTTCAGTTACATCATGGTCTCTGTGAGTCCAGGTCACCTAACTGTATACATGAACCACTTGTGTGCAGAGCAGTTCAGAGCAGGAGCTGACGCACTTGAGGGACTGTTGACAACAAACCTCCTTTCTTTCCGTCCTCCTCAATGGCAGTGTGGAGATTGAGACCTATGAATCCACTTTGATTCTCTGATGATGTGGTTTCCGTTGCCATATCCCACCCCCACTACTGCAGAAATCGTATCGACTCTGATGCGCAAAACTATTGTTTCCATATCTCTCATCTACACTCTGCATGATTTTGTTTTCTGATGTTATAAATCACTTTCTCAATGATTGCTGTCAGAAGCTGAAGCCTAATTCCAATTGAGCGATATTCATTAATTAGTTTCTCAGTTGTCTACTAAAAACATCCATTCTTTCACTACCCCTATTTTCCTCCTAGCGTATAGATGTAGGATCTTAATTTGAGCCAGCTTGGTACAGCAGCAAAATAATCCTGCATCAACAGGAAATATGAATTATTATGTGGGTTATGATTAATGGATATTTTTGATGGGGTTGATGTATTTTTCGTAATGGAAAATCAAGTCTGAAATTTCAAAGTGGAAATTACAAACTTCAGAAGCCTTTTTAAACCTCAAATACACTGCAAGTTTTACATTTCCTGCATTGCAGTGAAGTTCTCCTGCAACAGTGTGATCAAATTAAGATCCTACATCTGTAAGCAGGTGTAAATGTCATTCAACTCCTTGTACTCCCTGAAATTTACGCACCAGTGACTCGGTTAATAAAAAAGTGGTCAGATGACGCAGATGCTAAGCTACAGGACTGTTTTGCTAGCACAGACTGGAACATGTTCCGGGATTCTTCAGATAGCATTGAGGAGTACACCACATCAGTCACTGGCTTCATCAATAAGTGCATCGATGATGTCGTCCCCACAGTGACCTAACGTACATACCCCAACCAGAAGCCATGGATTACAGGAAACATCCGCACTGAGCTAAAGGGTAGAGCTGCCGTTTTCAAGGAGCGGGACTCTAACCCGGACGCTTATAAGAAATCCCGCTATGCCCTCCGACGAACCATCAAACAGGCAAAGAGTCAATACAGGACTAAGATTGAATCGTACTACACCGGCTCTGATGCTCGTTGGATGTGGCAGGGCTTGAAAACTATTACAGACTACAAAGGGAAGCACAGCCGCGAGCTGCCCAGTGACACAAGACTTCCAGACGAGCTAAACCACTTCTATGCTCGCTTCGAGGCAAGCAACACTGAAGCATGCATGAGAGCACCAGCTGTTCCGGATGACTATGTGATCACGCTCTCCGTAGCCGATGTAAGTAAGACTTTTAAGCAGGTCAACATTCACAAGGCCGCAGGGCCAGACGGATTACCAGGACGTGTACTCCGAGCATGTGCTGACCAACTGGCAAGTGTCTTCACTGACATGTTCAACATGTCCCTGACTGAGTCTGTAATACCAACATGTTTCAAGCAGACCACCATAGTCCCCGTGCCCAAGGACACTAAGATAACCTGCCTAAATGACTACCGACCCGTAGCACTGACGTCTGTAGCCATGAAGTGCTTTGAAAGGCTGGTCATGGCTCACATCAACACCATTATCCCACAAACCCTAGACCCACTCCAATTTGCATACCGCCCCAACAGATCCACAGATGATGCAATCTCTATTGCACTCCACACTGCCCTTTCCCACCTGGACAAGAGGAACACCTACATTGACTACATCTCAGCGTTCAACACCATAGTGCCCTCAAAGCTCATCACTAAGCTAAGGATCCTGGGACTAAACACCTCCCTCTGCAACTGGATCCTGGACTTCCTGACGGGCCGCCCCCAGGTGGTAAGGGTAGGTAACAACACATCTGCCACGCTGATCCTCAACACGGGGGCCCCTCAGAGGTGCGTGCTCAGTCCCCTCCTGTACTCCCTGTTCACCCATGACTGCATGGCCAGGCATGACTCCAACACCATCATTAAGTTTGCCGAAGACACAACAGTGTTAGGCCTGATCACCGACAACAATGAGACAGCCTATAGGGAGGAGGTCAGAGACCTGGCAGTGTGGTGCCAGGATAACAACCTCTCCCTCAACGTGACCAAGACAAAGGAGATGATTGTGGACTACAGGAAAAAAAAGAGGACTGGGCACGCCCCCATTCTCATCGACGGGGCTGTAGTGGAACAGGTTGAGAGCTTCAAGTTCCTTTGTGTCCACATCACCAACGAACTATCATGGTCCAAACACACCAAGACAGTCGTGAAGAGGGCACAACAAAGCCTATTCCCCCTCAGGAGACTGAAAAGATTTGGCATGGGTCCTCAGCTGCACCATCGAGAGCATCCTGACTGGTTGCATCACCGCCTGGTATGGCAACTGCTCGGCCTCCGACAGCAAGGCACTACAGAGGGTAGTGCGTACGGCCCAGTACATCACTGGGGCCAAGCTTCCTGCCATCCAGGACCTCTATACCAGGCGGTGTCAGAGGAAGGCCCTCAAAATTGTCAAAGCCTCCAGCCACCCTAGTCATAGACTGTTCTCTCTGCTACCGCACGGCAAGCGGTACCGGAGCGCCAAGTCTAGGTCCAAAAGGCTTTTCAACAGCTTCTACCCCCAAGCCATAAGACTCCTGAACAGCTAATCATGGCTACCCGGACTATTTGCACCCCCACCCCATCTTTTTACGCTGCTGCTACTCTGTTAATTATTTATGCATAGTCACTTTAACTCTACCCACATGTACATATTACCTCAACTACCTCAACTAGCCGGTGCCCCCGCACATTGACTCTGCACCGGTACCCCCTGTATATAGCCTCCCTACTGTTATTTTATTTTACTTCTGCTCTTTTTTTCTCAACACTTTTTTTGTTGTTGTTGTTTTATTTTACTTTTTTATTAAGAAATAAATGCATTGTTGGTTAAGGGCTGTAAGGAAGCTTTTCACGGTAATGTCTACACCTGTTGTATTCGGCGCATGTGGCAAATACATTTTGATTTGATTTGACACAGTACATTCTCATGAATTATTGGAGCTTTGGTAAAAATTTTTTTATGATGACAGAATCGGAGAGAGGTGGAAAGAGAGAGAGCGAAAGCGAACGAGAGAAACTGAGTAATGTAGGCTTCCTCTATCTGGTATTGGCATAATAGCAGCCGAGATTCTGGGATTTGAGCTGCAGTCGAAACTGAAGGAGGAGGAAAAGCAGTGGAGGGCCTGTTTGAAGCAGGTGTAGCAGTGCCTGGGGAGTTTGGGGTTCATAGGCTCAGCTGGGGCTCAAACTCACAGGTTCAGGTAGGGTTGTAGGGGGCTAACGATGAGAGGTACACATACTAACAGGGGAGTTGTGAGAGAGCAAGGAATGACTTCCAGGTGAGAGGTCAATGGGGCCAAACGCCACAGCTCTAGGCACAGTGGGAGGGTAATAAAGACACAGAGCCCCGAGCCCTCCTGCCTTCAGCTAACATTTTACATGAAAATAACAGGCAGACATCAAACAGGGGAAGCAGGGGGGGGATACTGACTCTCCAACTGGAGTTTTAGTGATATACCAAGCTTTAAAGCTTTATGCTGTTGGAATAAATTTTCTGTGATATGAAATTTGAGTTAAGGTCGAGCAGCAGCTGCCGTTAACATACTGTGGGCGATCGTAAAAATCAATTTTCTACTGTGCTTTCTACGGGTTATTCCAATATGTCTATCTTTTGTGAAGTTAATGCATACCTCAGGGAGAACAACCCTGTGACTTTGAGTCTTCTTTGCGTTCAAGTCTTATTCCCAGAAATCTCCTCTCTTTGATTGTTTATGGATTATATAAAAGTTGCCCAGGGATACAGATTACTGGAACTCAGTTTATAGCCTATCTCGTGTTTATATTCATGTTCTGTGTTGCTTATCATGTGAGGATGTGTTTGTTTTTCTTGTAGAGCAGTAGACCTCACAGGATTTAGTCGTGCTCTGTGATTACATCCTCACAGACCTTCAGCAGGTAGTTTGTGTGTGTGTGTGTGTGTGTGTGTGTGTGCGCACAGGCTCCCGTGCGCGTGCATGTTACAGGGCGGTACAAGAGTTAAAGGGAGTAGTTTATACACAGTAAACATGTCCGATCTATGCAGAATAGTTATTTTCAGGTTTCTCTTTTGAGTAAATATGCCATCAATTCTTCATTACATTATGTGGAGGATGATGAAGCCTTGCTAGTCCATGAAAGCTGCACTGCGTGCTGGTTTTCAGTGTTCACCAGAACATAGCCTAATTAATTAATTACTGTAATAGGTCACTGCACAAAGCCTTGTATTTGCATGTGTAAATATGCTTATACTTGCATTAGTGTGTGGCTTTTGACTGAAAAGCAGTGTACCCTGTAGGCCTATAGGGACCAGTGGAGGCTGGTGATTTAAAAATATAGGAGGATTGGAGACCCACGGTATAGGCGCGGACCGCACGGAGACGACAAAACGTGTTTCAAAAATCGTTAAAAGGCAAATTATTTTATAACCTAAAACATTTAACAAAGACATTTATAGTAAAAATATGACGGGGAATGGGAATGAGAGGGCTACTTACACTGTTGGGAAGGGATCACAGCAGTGATTGAATGAGGGTATGAGGCATGAGTTGAGCTGTTCAGAGGCTTGATTTCAGTGCAGGACAGGCTCATCATGGATGGATGGTGTTGGAGAAGAACGCAACACTTCCACTGAGGGCAGGACAGGATTTGACTTGGAAGACAAAAAACAATAACACAACACGGTTAGACAAAAAAGCTAAGAATTAGTTAGTCCAAGCAAAGATTAAAAACACTTTGACGTGTATGTGTAATAATGTGATTGTGTTAGTGTATGTGATTGACTCTACATACAGTAATGAGAGAACATTGTCAGGGTCTCTTACAGTGCTTGGAGAGGAAACATTCATTGCGCCAGTGGATGAGACAGCACAATGAGACGTGGCTTCAGGTCATATCTGGAGAGAGTTGACACTGGTAGTGGAGTGGAGTGTTCATCCCCGCTTAATCAGGGAACAGGAGGGGACTTAGCTGTAAATACAAATAGCAGATACATTCCATTAGAGCAGCACCATCATAGGTTTGGGCAACACGTTTCTCCATGAAGTTAAACTCAGACATCTCAGACTTCACAAAGTCAAACAGACTGCGCATCAAAGTAGCCCAAGAAATGTTCCTGAATAAAGCCCTGATCATCCACATAACTGACAATAACTAAGAACTGCGAGCGACAGCTGATGTCTGTGATTTCATCCATTTGCCATGCGATAAAATGCGCTGCGTCAACCTCTCTTTTAATCTCACTTTTAATGGATGATGCGATGGAAGCTATCAAATCATTCTGAATTGATTTAGATTGTAATGTGAGTTTAATAGGAACAAACATAGAGTGAATACAAAACAGGAGTAGAGTCTAAACATGAAAACAGGAAACAATACTACCTAATAGGTGATACAACGAAGTGCTAGATAAAGGGGAAGTAATCAGGGAGTGATGGAGTCCAGGGGTGCGTCATGATGGGGCGCAGGTGTGCGTAATGATGGTTGCCAGGACCGGTGGTTAGTAGACAGAGCAGCCGCAGGACGACGCCGGCCAGTGGGACGGCCCCGAGGGCGAGGAGCGGGCCAGTCCGGTCTGCGAAGGTGAAAAATCTCGGATGAGTTTGGGATCTACAATGTTGTCCACCGGAACCCAACACCACTCCTCTGGACCGTACCCCTCCCAGTCCACCAGGTACTGGAGCCGACCCCCATGACGTCGGGAGTCCGGGAGGGATCTGACAGCATAGGCGGGGCTTCCCTCGATGTCCAGGGGAGGTGAAGGGGTGTCATGGGGGACCAGGAACCACCGGCCTGAGGAGGGAAACATGAAAAGTGGGTGAGATCTGGTAGTTAGTGGGAAGCTGTAATCGGTATGTTACCTCATTGACCCTCCGGATGACTTTGAATGGCCCCACAAACTGGGGGCTCAGCTTCCGGCGGAGCGGGAGGTTCCTGGTGGAGAGCCAAATGTGATTACCAGGATGGAACACAGGAGCCTCACTGCGGTGGCGATCCGCCTGCTCCTTCTGGCTTTCCATACTCGCAACGTGAATTGATATCCTCCGGAAGGCCATAGTGACGGAAGACCTGCTGGAACAATGCCTCAGAGACCTGGAGAGCAGTAGGGACACCAGAGACAGGGATAAAACGGCAGGATTTGTAGAATCTGTCCACAACAACCGTAACAGTGGTGAAACCATCAGACAGGGGAAGATCAGTCACAAAACCTATAGACAGATGGGACCAAGGCCGCTGAGGCATGGGGAGGGGAAGGAGTTTCCCTGCTGGGGCGTGCCCCGAAGACTTGGTTTGAGCACATACGGAAAAGGAGTTGACATAGCGGGCGACGTCCTGCGCCAGGGTGGGCCACCAGTACTTATCGGAGATGGATTGAGTGGTGCGGGTGATACCTGGGTGTCCAGTGGCAAGGGATGTGTGTGCCCAGGTCAATAGCCAATCCCTTACCTCCGTGGGAATGTAGGTGCGCTCCGGAGGACAGGTAGCAGGCGCGGGTTCCCTCTCCAGATCCTGGCGTATGTCCACGTCTATGTCCCAAAGCATGGGGGCAACGAGTCGGGAGGGCGGTATGATGGGCGCACTCAGGACCGGAACCTCTCCTGAATCGTGGAGATGGGACACGGCATCGGCTTTGATGTTCTTTGAACCTGGGCGGTATGACAGGGTGAAGTTGAATCTTGTAAAGAAAAGGGCCCACCTTGCTTGGCGCCGGTTCAACCGCCTCGCTGTCCGTATGTACTCCAGGTTCCGATGGTCGGTGAGGATGAGAAAAGGGTCCCTGGCGCCCTCCAGCCAGTGTCTCCACTCCTCTAATGCCAACTTCACCGCCAGGAGCTCCCGATCACCGACATCCTAGTTCCTTTCTGCAGGAGACAGTTTTTTAGAGTACAGTCGTGGTCAAAAGTTTTGAGAATGACACAAGTATTAGTCTTCACTAAGTTTGCTGCTTCAGTGTTTTTAGATATTTTTGTCAGATGTTACTATGGTATACTGAAGTATAATTACAAGCATTCCATAAGTGTTAAAGGCTTTTATTGACAATTACATAAATTGTATGCAAAGAGTCAATATTTGCAGTGTTGACCCTTCTTTTTCAAGACCTCTGCAATCCGCCCTGGCATGCTGTCAATTAACTTCTGGGCCACATCCTGACTGATGGCAGCCCATTCTTGCATAATCAATCCTTTAAGCTTGTCAGAATTTGTGGGTTTTTGTTTGTCCACCCACCTCTTGAGGATTGACCACAAATTCTCAATGGGATTAAGGTCTGGGGAGTTTCCTGGCCATGGACCCAAAATGTCAATGTTTTGTTCCCCGAGCCACTTAGTTATCACTTTTGCCTTATGGCAAGGTGCTCCATCATGCTGGAAAAGGCATTGTTCGTCACCAAACTGTTCTTGGATGGTTGGGAGAAGTTGCTCTTGGAGGATGTGTTGGTACCATTCTTTATTCATGGCTGTGTTCTTAGGCAAAATTGTGAGTGAGCCCACTCCCTTGGCTGAGAAGCAACCCCACACATGAATGGTCTCAGGATGCTTTACTGTTGGCATGACACAGGACTGATGGTAGCGCTCACCTTGTCTTCTCCGGACAAGCTTTATTCCGGATGCCCCAAACAATCGGAAAGGGGATTCATCAGAAAAAATGACTTTACCCCAGTCCTTAGCAGTCCAATCCCTGTACCTTTTGCAGAATATCAGTCTGTCCCTGATGTTTTTCCTGGAGAGAAGTGGCTTCCTCGCTGCCCTTCTTGACACCAGGCCATCCTCCGAAAGTCTTTGCCACACTGTGCGTGCAGATGCACTCACACCTGCCTGCTACCATTCCTGAGCAAGCTCTGCACTGGTGGTGCCCCGATCCCGCAGCTGAATCAACTTTAGAAGATAGTCCTGGCGCTTTCTGGACTTTCTTGGGCGCCCTGAAGCCTTCTTCACAACAGTTGAACCTCTCTCCTTGAAGTTCTTGATGATACGATAAATGGTTGATTTAGGTGCAATCTTACTAGCAGCAATATCCTTGCCTGTGAAGCCCTTTTTGTGCAAAGCAATGATGACGGCACGTGTTTCCTTGCAGTTAACCATGGTTAACAGAGGAAGAACAATGCACCACCCTCCTTTTCAAGCACCACCCTCCTTTTAAAGCTTCCAGTCTGTTATTCTAAC